TGTAAGTGATCTATTTGTCCTTCTCTACTGTATTTCTCGGAGAGTCGGACTCTTTCTGAACCTAGAGCTCACCATTTCAGCGATCCTGGCAGCCAGGCAGCCCCAGAGATCTATCTCCCCCCTCCCTCGCTCTCTCCTCCCCCTCCCCCTCCCCCCTGGGTGGTCGCAGGTCATGTAAGCTGCAAACACACTAGCTTTTCACATGAGCTGGAGGTCATGCTTGCACAGCAACTGTTCTCACCTACTGAGCCATTTCCCCAGGCACTGAAGCTAATTTTATCATCTAGCGGATTGTTTTAATTCATGTCTGTATTTTATCTCAGATAAAAATGATAGAGTGATGAAAAATGAACCAGTGAAAAAGTCTGTCACCAAAGAACAGCCCAACACTGATGGCTTCATTGCCCTGTACTATTGAAAGAAGAACAAGCTAACACAGGTTCTCTTTGTTATTCAATAATAGAAGATGAAGGAATTTATCCAAACACACACTGTCCTGATAGCCAACCCATAAAACTTTCAAGGAAAAAGTACAATTTCTCATCTTGTATGCACACACTGAGATGTAGATTTGAACGGTTCTTAGCATGAAAGAACTAAATACCCTCAGGTTGCAACCTCACAGAGAGGGGCTGGGACATAGACATATATTGTAAAACAAAGTGTCAAACTTCCTTTCAACTAAATAAAGATTTTTTAAAGTAACCCTTGGGACCGGAGAGATGGCTCAGTGGTTAGCAACAATGGGTGCTCTTCCCTAAGGACGGGGTTCAATTCCCAGCACACACATGTCAGCTCACAAGTATCTGGAACTCTAATTCCAGGGTCTGTGACACCATTTTCTGCCCTACGTGGGCACTGAACACACATGGAACATGTATATTCATGCAGGCAAAATACCCGTACATACAATAAAGTAAAATTTAAAAGTGATCCTTGTGTATGTGCTTTGTATACTATAAAGCCCAGTGCCCTCCATGGAAGCAAATACAGTAACTCCTCCACCCTACACCAAGAGAACATTAGCTGTGGGTTTGAGAGAAAGTGGCTAGGGAAGGTTTACTCTCTGTTACTCGAAGTTTGGGGGAATTACCAGTGCCTTGAGAAACTTGACTACAATTTGTGTCCTCTAACCATGGGAATAATTGGTATCCGGAAACTTGAGATACTTTCCGATTCCATCCAGCCATTAAAAGATAAGGGCTGTCATTGGGCCCTGAAGGTTGAGGGAAGGATGTTCCTTCCTCGATGGCAGGCTCTCCAATACCATGTTATTTACAAGTCTTCAGATAGTAAAACTTGCAAGCCTCGGGTGAGCAGGGCTCTCTTGTGTGTGTTTTGTTTTTGAACCTGGCTCTCTGAGCTGTAGAGAAGAATGTCTCTGGCTGCCTCTCCCTCAGGAAGCATGCATCTCTGTAGCTGTGGTGGAGGGCTGGGAAAGAGCTACCTTTGTGCCCCTCTACTGCACATTTCCAAGTTGATTGTGCCAGTAAAAATGGGAGTGTTGGGCAGTGTTTGGTTAGGGACAGGAAACTGCAAGCAGAGGAACTGTGGAAGGTTCTTTTGTGCATTGACATATTTTCCTAGTAGCTTCCCCAGCCACTCCCATCGTTTTAATCTACCCTCTAGCATGTTAGTAGATGCCTTGTTTGATCTTGCAGTTGACATGTAGCAAATCGATGTTGAAAAGTCTGTATGCCTACAGTGAGGAGATAGATGCACTTAAATTACTGTCTTGGGACCTTTGAAGACAGAAACTCTTTAAGAGTTATAGTAGGGGTGCCTTTGTGTGGATGAGCTGACATCAGCAATTTGAACTTTAAATAATTGAGCATTGGATGCAGAGACATTTCTAGTTCCTATGGCATGTGCTTTAAAACTCGCCTTTGTTTTACAGTTTAGTAAGTCTGTGTTCTGCCAAATGAGTATCTTTGTGGTGATAGAGAATTTTCTTCCTGACTGTTTTTGTGTTTGACTGTAATCTGTGCAATTAGAAAAGGGATCTTTTGTTTCACTGATTTATTCTACTTTGCTATTTTATCCCATGATACGGAGGGAAAGCTGATGCAGCTAAGGCAAGGTGACTTTGTACAGTTAGTGTGGGGAGAAAACGGAAACCGTTCTGTTGGCTAGCTCACGTCTCTTCTTGAATACAGTGTTTCTTTGGATAGGTTGTGCTGGGCTAGGTGGTTGATTTATAAAACCCTCAGATTTCTTGTTTTGGGAATGGCCATAACATTTCTTGATTTTTTTGTCTTGAGTGTTAGATGTAATGGTTTTTCTAATTAAAGGTTACGGAAAGGATAAAATATGATTACGTAAATTAAAATTGAACATAAAGATTTACAAATTTGGAGGGGTGTGTGCTGGCGAGCTGTCTCAACCATTAAAGAACTCTGCAGAGGACACAGTTTTAGTTCTGAGTGAGCGCTCTCATGGTAACTTACAACCATCTGAGACTCCAGTTCCAGGGAGCATGACTCCCTCTCGCCTTCCGCAGGCACCAGCATGCACATAGTGCACATGTATGCATTCAGGCAAAACAGTCATACATGGAATATAAAATAAATATTTTTAAGTCTAAAATTGATATTTGAAGGTATTTAGAAGAGATTAATACGGCAAAGCACCCTTTACTCAGACTTCTCTGTGTCCTTTTGCTTTTCCTATATGTAAATTTTTCTCAATTACCAAACATGGCTTTTGTTTTTTTTTTTTTTTTTTTTTTTTTTTTCCTTTTAATGTCGTGTGCTCCCCTCTTCCAACTGTAAATGACTAGTAGTGGCTCTATTTGAATAACATCAGAGTTGACTGTAGATTGACAAGTGTCAAGTTATGAACTGTGTACACTTCTTTAGTAGTAAAATAGATGTGTTTTTGTCATTGAAAATGCACGTGTGCTCATCGTCAAGACATCACAAGATGGCTAAAGAATTGTCCCCAAATCAAGTAGCTAAATAGATCCTGGGCAAGTTGATTCTGCTTCTGGCAGCTGCTCATTCTGAACTGAAGGAGAAAGTCCCTTCCAAGCATCTATTGCCAGTAAGACCAGCTGAGTAAGAAGGGTGGACGCCTGCTAAACAAAGCTGTGTACCCAGCCTAGCCCAGGCTTGCCCAGCTCTGATCTCACAGGCTTACTACTCTTTTGTCTAACAACTGGTTGTTTTGGGGGAAAGTCAAGTTACTTAATCATTTTCATCTCATTCCTTCTAACCATTTCTCCTCAGAGTTAATAACTAAGCAGACCCTTCTCCCCTCCCTAGCGATCTTTGATTTCTGTTGACTCACACTGAGATGGCAGAAAACAACAGAGTGTTGTGGTGGGGGAGATGTAGACCTTTGTGGCTGAGCTGATACAGTTCAAAGCTGGTTGACTATGGAGCTATAAGGTTAAAAGCTCGGGGTTTTAAGATGTTTATTTTATTTATTTCAATGCATAAGCATTTTGTCTGCATGTATGTATATGTACCATGTGCCCATGGTCTTAGCAGGGTGTTAGATCCCCTGGAATTGGGTTACAGATGGTTGTGAGCCACTGTGTGGGTGCTGGGAACCAAACCCAGGTCCTGGCAGAGTGGTGATGCTCTTAACCACTGAGCTGTCTCTCCAGCCCTAAAGGCTCCTATTTGTGTCTTTAAAACAAAGTGATGTCAGTATCTACTTTACAAGGCTATTTTGAAGATTACACGAGTAAATACACCCTTAGATTGTGTCTACTCAGAACAATGTCTGACACACAGTAGGCACACAAGACATATCAGTGCCTGTTAGTTTTCCCAGCTATCTCCATGACTTCAGTGCTTAGCACTTAGTGATGAGTAGGTGCTGGATCCCTGCCTGTGGAGATGACCCTCAAGGAATAGCTCTGCAGAAGACACCCCTGCCTGCCACGTGTTGGCTGGTTGCCCCTCCCATCTGAACTACCTTCTCTGAGTGAGGTGCTTGCTGGAGAAAATCATGGAGCCACACTATCATTCCTGTCTGCCAGTCTCTGTCCTGAGATCAGGACCCAGACTCTTCAACAGGAAACCCTGCAAAGTTCCTGCTGTGGGCTCCCTCTGCTGGCCCATCTAGCATGCATGCTGATCAACAGTGGAATAAACTGAAATATTCAGCTTTAGGCTTTGAGGCATGTTTTGTGAAAGGTACATTTGGAAATGTGTGTGTGAGAGAGAGGATGTACGGATAACATGTATATTATTCTTTTTGCTATTTTCATTTTAAGTTGGGATGTTGTCATGGTTTCAGTTTGCGGGAGTTCACTGTGATTTCCAGTGGGACAGTTACGAGGTGTTGAAAACTTCACGGTTCTGTTCTCAACTGATAAGGGTTTGTATTTGAACATGGTAGCAAGTATCCCAGAATCTTATTTTCAGAGTCTAAGTTTCTTTTTTTTTTTTTTTGATCCATGGTATGGGGACTTACTAATATTCTTCAAAGGTCATAGTTGAGACCCCTGATGTGGTCCTGTGCTGAGGGTTTAATGTATGTCAGATAGTAATATTTCAGATTTATTGAGTGGTTGATCATTTATTTGGAGTCATAATTCATAAATAAAATGTGCCACAAATTACCCAAAATTGCACTTTATTTCTTTATTTTTGTGTAAGTGTGTGTCTGTGTGTGAGTGTGGGTGCATTTGTAGAGACTGAAGGCCAACCTTGGGTGTTGTTCCTTGAGAGCAGTGCACATGGTCTCTCGCAGGGACTTGGGGCTTACCTATTAGAATAGGCTGGCTGGCTGTTGAGCCTCCAGGACAGGACCTTTCTGTCTCCATCTCCCCAGCATTGGGATCACAAGTACCTGCCATTATGCTTGCCTTTTTGATGTGGGTTCTGGGAACCCAACTCTGGTCTCAGTTCCCGTAGGACAGGTGCACTTTACTGACTGAGTCGTTGCCTGGCCCTAAAATTTCACCTACAAATAATTCTCCTATGTCTTTGTGTTTTCCTTCTCATGCTCTCCTTTTATCTTCATCTTTCCTTTCGCTTTGTTACTAGGATCGAACAACATAAATAGGATAACTGCAAACACGGAAAATGGAGAGAATGAAGGAACAACTAAAATTATCGCACCTTCACCGGTGAAAAGGTTAGTGTGTGCAGTTATGTGCTGTTGTAAAAGCTCTTCACTTTGTTGGCAGGGTTACGAGTCTTTTCACTCTGGTAATTGAGTAGTAATTTTAACCTGGGGGCTCCAGTGGATAGTGTCTGAGCCAAAGGATATGTTATTAGGGCTCCAGTGGATAGTGTCTGAGCCAAAGGATATATTATTGTGGCAGCAAAATACAGACACCAGGACCAGCCCCTCAATGAAGTGCCCTTGCTGTCACAGGGTGGTGAAGTCACACCCTATGTGTGGTCTACAGCCCTCAGCAGCACACTGAAAATCCTATGTGGCTTTTAAAGTCATGATACTAACTCAAAGGAACTGGTAAAGTAAAGGGGGTGATATTTTGTTTAATGTACTGTAATCCTTGCAATGGTGTGCTGAGCCGTGGCCCCAGGGAAGAGGTTTATAGCTTCAGAGGTCTCAGAACCTTGGAATCCAAAGATTGCATATGTATAAAGATCTGTCATGGTTCTTGGCATCAGCTTTCCTGACGGCTCTCCCACTGCATGGGTTGGTTCCTGAAAGATCAGCTTTGTTCTCTGTTATGGGAGTTTTGGAGTCACTTTTTCCTATCGCTAATTATGTCCATGGAGTGGGGTTATCAACACACAATGAGCAGCTTTCACAAAGCTCACTTTCCCTGTAGAGGCGGCCCACTTGCATCATGGAGAAGTCCCAGAAGTCAGAGATATGTGACCTGCAAAGACACCTTAGATCATCCTCAGTCCAGCTTTTAGTAAATAATGGTGCCTTCATTCAGCTGGACTGTGGTGACTTTGAGGAGTATAGCATATTCCAGAGCTGTGTGTTTCCCCTACTCATTTCCTTCCTTCCTTCCTTCCTTCCTTCCTTCCTTCCTTCCTTCCTTCCTTCCTTCCGCTTGTCTGTCTGCCTTCCCTCCCTCCCTCCCTCCCTCTCTCTCTCTTTTTCTTTCTTTCTATCTTTCTTTCTTCCTTTCTTCCTTCCTTGATTTCTTCCTTCCTTCCTTCCTTCCTTCCTTCCTTCCTTGATTTCTTCCTTCCTTCCTTCTTTTTTTGGTTTTTCAAAACAGGGTTTCTCTATGTAGCCTTGCCTGTCATGGAACTCACTCTGTAGACCAGACTGGCCTCAAACTTGAAGAAATCCACCAGTCTCTGCCTCCTAGAGTGCTAGGATTAAAGGCATGCACTACTAGTGCCCAGCGTGTTTTCTTTTCTTTAGTTCTGGGGCATTCCCCTCACAGATCAACCTTTTGGAATGATGTGTTCTTTGCCTTTTTATGAAGACTATCTCCATTAGCTGTATTTCCCTATCCCACAGTCCTGGGTGGAGGCAGCTTCATCTGCATATATAGGGCACATTGTAGCTCATTGCTGCCAGCAGTCCTGAAACCAGATGGGTAGTCTGCTCCCACACAGGACAGGCTGCAAGGAGCATGGGAAGGGACACAGTCACCATGCCACCGGGGTTTTGTTATTCTTTAGCCTTCACCCACTTGCAATTCTTTTTTCATCTTTCTGTTCTTCCCCATTTCCCTTCCTTTCTGCTCCCCTTTTCTCTTTGACTCAGCAACACATACACTTCATACTACTGTAGTGAATCTCCGCTGCTCCCTTTCTCTTTGACTCAGCAACACATGAACTTCATACTACTGTAGTGAATCTCCGCTGCTCCCCTTTCTCTTTGACTCAGCAACACATGCACTTCATACTACTGTAGTGAATCTCCGCTGCTCCCTTTTCTCTTTGACTCAGCAACACATGCACTTCATACTACTGTAGTGAATCTCCGCTGCTCCCTTTTCTCTTTGACTCAGCAACACATGCACTTCATACTACTGTAGTGAATCTCCGCTGTATTTTTTTTTTTTTTTAATTTTTTCTCATTTCAAAGGGGAAGCATTTACTTTGGGAATTTTGTCTTTGAAATTGTGATTTTAAAATATTATTAAATAATGTATTGGGCCTATGTAAAAACATACCTACTACCTACTAAGCCTTTGCTGTGAATGCACTTGTTGGATGCTGCAGGTGTGTATTATTCCTGTGTGGATATAGTGTCCCAAGGCCAAAGGTTGTTTGTTTTGTATTTGCAGCATCGTTATCACTTTCCCCTTTCTGCTCTTGGTTGCTGTTGCTGAGAATTCTGCTACAGCCTATTTTGTAACAACTATCCAGATCCCTCAAACAGCTAGGATTAAAAGTGGATTAACAGCTAAGTAGCTCTTTTCCTCTACAAGCTACAACTCCAGAGGACGTGAACAGCAGCCTTACTGCTGATCTCTTCCTCTGTTTGCCTCGGTGTCCCTAAAACAGTTTGCTGGGCTTGACTAACAGCTCAGTTATATTTACATTCCTAGGACAGAAAGACGATATTAGGTCGGGAAATGACATTCGGAAGTCATTCTGATCTGAAAGGATGGAGCCAAGATATCTGGAAGCCTTGCAGAGGTCAGATAGGGTAGCCTGATCCTGCCCAGTGTTGGCTTTCAGTGCCTCAGAGCTAACGCTGGAGCCAGGGCATCTGGCCACTGCTGAAGATTGCCAGCCTCATGTCAATGGATGCCCCAGTGCCTTAGTCACTCTCCTATTGACGTGACAAAACACCACGGCCAAGGTAACTTGGCTCACAAATAAAGCACTAATTTGGGGCTCATGATTCCAGAGGATTAGAGTCCACGACAGTCATCATGGCGGAAAGCTTGGCAGCAGCAGGCAGACATGGTACCGGAGCAGCAGCTGAGAGCTCACATCTGAGGGTCAGCAGGGAGCAGAGAGCACTGACCGGGCTGACTTTTGTAATCTCAAAGCACCAGTGACACACCTCCTCCAGTCAGGCCACACCCCATCCTTCCCAAACAGTTCTACCAACTGGGGAACACACATTTAAACACATGAGTCTGTGGGGCCAATTTCATTCAAACTACATTAGAAGTGTATTTCAAAAAAAAGCATAAAGGTGTTCCACACATCCTTAGTTTTGGCTTACCCGGCTCCCACCATCCCCTCTTCCTCACTAGAATGGACTCTTTAGAAGTTTTTAACAATTGATTGGCTTGGCTTCTCTTACAACTAGACTCAGGGAGGAGACACAAAAATGTCTACTGGAGAAAGCAGCCATCTTGGGTTCTTTTTGGAATGAGTGACACCTATAAGCAAGAAAGTGTGTGTGTGTGTGTGTGTGTGTGTGTGTGTGTGTGTGTGTGTGTGTGTGTGCATCTTAACATTTGTTAAATAATTTTGAATAAATCAGAGTGGATTAACATACTTTAAATTTTTGGTCAACTTATTTTTCTTTCTCTACTATTAAAGTTTTAAGAAAGCAAAGAATGAAAACAGCCCTGATACCCAAAGAAGCAAATCTCATGCCCCGTGGGAAGAAAACGGGCCCCAGAGGTAAGAAGCTCACAGTGTTTGTGGAGAGAAGCAACGTGGGGCATATCTGTCACAGCTTACCCTGTCAAGGACACGAACTCCCTTGTGGCTTCAGGAAGTACTGAAGTGGCCATCAGTAGCATGTTTCCTAATGTGAAACCTTTTCAGATGGCAAAAAGGAAAGCCAGTGTGTGATGGTTCGTAACGGTGGTTCTCAACCCATGGGTCTCAATCCCCTTGGAGTTCACATAGCAAATGTTTAACATTACGATTCATAACTAACAAAATTATAGTTATGAAGTAGCAACAAAGTAATTTTATGGTTGGGGGGTCACCACAACACAAGGAACTGTATTAAAGGGTCACAGCATTAGGAAGGTTGAGAACCACTGATCCAAAGTAAGGGTATAGTTCTGAAAAAATTCCAAATGACATTAATGCTAACACTGCACACTTGTTCTTGTAAACCCCCCGAGCTGGTATGTGAACTTTCTCTTCCACTCCAGTGGACTCTATAATTCTCCCAACGACCGCACCAAGTCACCCAAGTTTCCCTGTACCCGCCAGCGCAACCTCTCCTGTGGCAGTGACAATGACTCTTCGCAGCCAATGAGGCGAAGGTGAGCTAACATAGTTTCCATTCCAGTGTCATCGGAGGCTTTGGGTCCCAGGCATGCTTTGGTAACATCCTCAAAAAGCCACTACTGTTTGTCTTCTCATGATAACTGGAAACCTGTTCTTTTCAAAGTAAAGCAAGTTAGGAGTTCTGAAGTATTTATCTGAAACAATTTTAGAGAATATTTTTTATATATATAAAATACTGCTAGTCACGTGCTTTCTGCATTAAAATGGCTAATTTAAAAACATAGTATGCTGACTACATAATGTGAACTTCATGGCATCAGTAATACGTTAGATGCTTCTACATTGGGCACTAGAATTACTTTCAGCATCAGCAGGGTTGTCCTCCAAAGTGACACTGCTGTGTAAGCATCAGTGAGCCTCTTTCAGAGCAGAAACTGTGAACCTGCTGTTTTGTAAGTCAGAATGCACATTGACTTTGCTTGTGTGGATGCTCAGTCATTCCCAAATTAGCATAAGAGCAGTGCTTAAAGATAAACAGGAAGTAGGGGGTGGTGTGATGAGAAAGCAATGTGTCTGGAGATGGTTAGAGATAGTAAAGGTCAAAGTTTAATGAAAATGTAGGTTGTGGTGGTAGATGAGGTTATTCTAGAAGAAATAAGGAATTTAAGGCCAGGATGTTGGAATCCAAGTGAGAGCTGCAATCAGCTAAAATTGGCTTAGAGGATTACATACCTAGAAACCACAGGCTAACCCTATTGTAGGATGAATGTAGCTTATCCAACATGGGCATTACACATAAACCACAGCCTTGCTCTGGATGACTGGGTTCTTGAGGCCAGCTAGTGGCGTGCTGTGTTCCTGGGACCTGTCAGGGCTGGACATATACACATGATATAAACCAATACAAAAGGCATCTGGATTAACTGGTGTGAAACTCTGTGCTGCCTTAGCTGTTGATAAGACCGCTTTCTCTAAGCTCTTCTTTTGTTGTCCTCAGGAAAGCTCATAACAGTGGCGAGGACTCAGACCTAAAGCAGAGGAGAAGGTAGGAAAGCAACAGGAGGGGTCGCAGAGGAGAAAGGATGGGGTGTTCACAGTCGAGGCAGGAGTGCAGGTTTTCCCTCTACCAGGGCCGCCATGACTGTACCACCCATCTGTGGGTTTTAGCTTGTTTTAATTGGATCTCCATCTTCTCTTTCTGACCCTTGACATTTCTTTTTTTTCCTGTTCCTTTTGTGCTTCTTAAGAGCTGTCTCAGGCTATACCCTGCCGTATTGTAAACCACTCCACACTTGGCTTAAAGCAGCAACATCTGTGTGTGTGTGTATGTGTGTGTGTGTGTATGTGTTCATGTGTGTCTGAGTAGATTGAGCAGATGATAGCTGATGCTGTGATGCACAGAGGGTCTCTCTCGTGTGGCATCTTGGCACAATGGTTGGAGCCACAGGCTTCTTTAGCGGGTGGCTGGAAGGAGGGATAATATGGCTCTCTGTATTTGGATCAGTGTTTTTTCTCCAAAGTTACTTCTAGAGTACCTGATGACCCTTTCTATAACTTGTCATCAATTGTCCTCCTTTTTGCTTTTGTCCCCAGGTCACGCTCACGCTGTAACACAAGCAGTGGTAGTGAATCGGAAAATTCTAACAGAGAGCACCGGAAAAAGAGACACAGGTAACACTTAAACATTGTCCTACCTAGAGCTCTGCCCTGGCCTGAGTTCTCCTTCTTCCCTGATGACCCAAAGGCCACTGTTAGGGAAACCTCTGTTCTATGAGTTTCTTATCTCTGTGGTAAGATCATTAAATAATTTGATAGTTAAATATATCCATTTTTAAGGTAATTCTATATTTAGTGTATAATGTGTGTTGAATTTATCTAAGATGGGGAGGAGTTTGCTGTTTGTGTGGAGATTTCTCCTTGAAGTACTTCTACATATAATGTTTCCATATTTTACTTAGTCTCAAGGTGAGGCTCATCATCTTAGAGATTCTATTACTCTTGGCCTTTCTATATATATGTACACGTGTTTCCAGTGACATGAGGTACAACAGGCCAGTGTGTTTGGGACACCTTGCTAGGAGTCAGTTTTTAAGAGCTTGTTAATAAGATCAGTTGACATGTAATCAGCATTAATGTTGGCTTCTTGCATTAATCATATCTCCCTGGTTCCAAACCATTTATTTAAAAACAAAAGGTATGAGGGATTTGATTGTCAGTCATACACGTTTTAAAGCCAGTGGTTCTTAACTGGGAAGGCTTTGCCCTTTCAGAGGAGCTTTGGTTGTGTTTGGAGACATTTATTTTTGTCACATCTGGGTGGGAGAGATTGCTGCTCTCCAGAGTTGATTCCATGCATTCTCCATGCAAGTAGGACACCACAGTGAAGACATCCATGATGCGGAGGGAGAGAGACCTGGGTCACCTCCTGTGTAGCTCACATCTGCTTGCTTTTGGAGCCATCCTTTTTTCTTGTGTGAGATGAAGAAGTTGGACCACTCTCCAAGGTCATTCTTCAGTGCTTGGGAGCCTTGCTTCACGCAGAGTGGATGCTCTTCCCTCCCTCTGACTACAAAGCCTGTAGAATAATAGCCCCAACAGCATTGTGACATTGGGCCACTTGCTCTTGAGAGATTTCTGCCTACCCACCCTCAGAGGCTGGGATTACACTAGATGGCTGCAAGATCTCTCTGTGTTATGACACTCCTGGAAGAAACAATTTCAGTCTCTTTATCTGTGAAAATCCAATTATGAGAGGTGGCTCTCCCTTAGGTGTGTTCCTCCTGCTGTAAAACCAAGCAGTTCTGTACCAAACAAAACAAATGGTTTTGGTTTTCCTGTTTAACAGTCTGTGCTTACTCATCAAGGCAGGATCTGTTTATTATTTAGTATCGTCTGAATTGTGCTCCTAAATGGCCTGTTCTCAACTGCACAGAAGATAACCTGTGCTTTTAGGGGCCAAATGTGCTAAGGGTACCATGTTCTATTAGAAATGGAACAGGGTTGGTTGCCACTGGATCCTTAAACTGCCCATTGCTGGTCTTGCTATGCTGGCTTATGGTTTATGTCCCTGCCATGAGGACTGTTACCTCTCTCCCACAAAGAGTTTTTTTGTTTTGTTTTGGTTTTTGTTTTTGTAATTTGGCTTTCTTGGTGTTAGCATGGCAGTGGTTCTGAATGTTCAGATGCTAGTGTACTTTGTAATGCTAGCATTCAGAAATCGCATCTGAAACATATGCTCAATGTTTTATATAAAGGATCCAAAAGGCTTTTGCAATTGATTTTCACCTCTGGCAATATTGCCCTAGGATCACGCAAGTTCCTGTGTCCTATGAATCTGAGGCATAGCAGGAAACCGGCAGAGGAAGACGCATGCCTGGCTCTGATCTCCATCCATGCGGGTTCCGCCTCAGCAGGCAATGGTGCACGAGGAAGGCAAGCACAAAGGTTACCACCTCTGGGTGCCACTTGCCCACCGTGCTATGCTAATTCCAGCCCCTCCATCTAGCATTAGCCTTTGATCTTTTTACCAGGATGCCTCCTTTTGTATCAGATCTGAACATTAAACTGCTGCTCTGCTCCTGTACAGAAGTTTTCTGTGTGCAGCAAATCCCTGTTCTCGACATCTGACTTTGCCCATGTCCAGGAGAATCCTTGTTGAGATGCTGAACCTTCAGCCTCTTGCAGCTTCCCTGGCAGTGGGGGCCAGCAAGCTCTAGACAGCATCCTTCCTGCTTTTATGAAAGCTTTGGCGTGACCATGACATTAGCTACACAGAATCTGGTGCATGCTGATGTTCTGTTTCTTGCGGTTCCATGTTTCCTTGTCTTTGCTGTAAGGGCCTACACCCTGACACACCCCATTTTCTTGTCTTGCTTTGGGAAGTTCTAACCTTGAAGCAACTTTTGGGCAAACTTATTTTTAAATTTTCAGTACCGTAAGTTATATGTAATGATTGGTTTGATTGTGCTGTTTTCATACATGTATGTGATATGTCGATCACAGTTCCTCCCATTGCCTTCTCTTGTCCTCTCCCGGCCCTCACTAATCAGTTTCCTCTTCTCATCTAGCCTCCTGTCTGTTGTCATGTCTTTTTTTTTTTTTTTTTTTTTTTTTTTTTTTTTATGATGTCCCAGTCAATGAATTTCATTAAGGTTGTTTACAGGTGCACACACCCTTTACCAATTTCTATACCAGTGAAGAAAGTGACAGCCCCTTCCCTATTCAATGTTAACTGCATATACATCCGTAGGGAGGTGCAGGGCCCTACGAGCCTCTTTCCTTTCTGTGACAAGCTGTTGACAAGCCTAGCCTTGTGAAGGTAATTGCACATGCTGAGAATCCAAGAGTGCAACAACCATGCCCTGCCTAGAAGCCAGTGCTACATACAGCTCTCCCCAGTTTGCTCTGCCTCTATCTTCAGTGTTCCTTAAGCCTTGGAGGAGTGTTTTGTTTATGGCTGAGCATGCACTAGTATTTATTCTTAGTCCTTTAACCAGTATGAGTCTCCGGAGTTACCAATGACCACTGCTGTTTAAGCTTCCTTTTCCTTCCTTCCTTCCTTCCTTCCTTCCTTCCTTCCTTCCTTCCTTCCTTCCATTCCTTATTTATTTACTTGCTTACTTTCTTATTCTGAGACAAGATCTCAGGTATTCCAGCCTGGTTACGTGTAGCCAGGGGCGACTTTGTCCCTCATCTCTCTTCCTCCAGGGCTGAGATTGTAGGTGTGCATTGCCATGCCTGGTTTAGGAAGTGCTAATCGCACACTGGGTCAGCCCAGCTCACCCCCAGCCCGCTCAAGCTTTAGGCAGAGCTTCCTTTGCTGTTCCCATTGGTGCGACAATTGATCTGGTTTCGTTCCTCACATTGGGAGCCTGTCAAAATGCTGGCACTTAGAAGCCAACAATCTGTGTGAAAATAGTAGATTGTATTTGTTTTAATGGGCTAGAATTTCAGATCTTGTCCCTGCCTGAGCTCAGAAAGATCAGTCAGAAATCGAGAAGGGGAAGAAAGTGAGGGTGTATGAGGGACAGGAGAGGATGGTGGGAGAATATGATTGAAAGACATCATACGTGTGTATGAAACGTTATTATGAAACCATTATATGCTAATAAAACCTAAAATAACAAGGCCAGTCAGTTTACCACTGTAGGTTTGAGCACAGGGAACATGTACCCTGAACGTGTACCAGGCCTTTGCTAAAGAAAGGACCTGGGAAGTGGACAGATCAGAATGAAGCCTTTCATATAGCAGCTGTGCCTGTAAACGCCCTTTCTTCACATGCACAGGAGTCTGCACAATATCCGGCTCTTACGGGCCTCCCATGGGAGTGTCTGTGGATTACTCACTTGCTCCTTGCCTTTGATGCTTTGCTTGGTGCTTATAGCCAAGGGGGGATTTGGAGAGGGAAGTGACACAGGTACAGGGGCCAGTAGTTCTTGCATAAGGAAAAAGAGGAAGTGACCCTGCTGGGCAGGGCTAGAGCAGATCTGCAGCAGGGCTCCCACTGAACCTTTCCCTTCTCACTCCTGGGAGTTTGCACCACACTCAGGAGTCACATAGGTGGAACGTGTGTGCTCTTGTGAAAATCAGGGAACCGCGTGTTACATAAATGATCCTGCTTTGCGAAGTTTCTGTGGCCCTGGCCCAGTCACTTCACCATTCGAATCTTCGATTCGGGGCTCAGGTGAAAAGAGTACCTGCTCTGTCTTCCCCATAGGAAGTTTGTGAAGATTCAGGAGATAATGCCATGTGGGATGTAGACAGTGTCCTGCACAGGCAGGTGCAGTTAAGCCAATGAGAACACTCAGCTGCCCTGTGTTCTCCAGAGGCCCTGGAGGAAGTGGAAAGTCCAGCTGGCTCCCTCCAGCAAAATGAAGTCAGGGTTTGAAACATGAGTTCATTCTGGCACGAAGCTATGGAGTTTGTTCCTGCCTTTAATGCCAGTTAGCCTACCTGATGTCTATTAGTATCTGAAGAATAGCTTCAGGTAGACTTAAATGTGTCCCAGAAGGGCTTTTGGGTTCTTTCCTAACTAAGGAAGAAGCATGTTTCTGTGGCAGAAATTCAGCCCCCAAACTAACAGAGAGACGAGACAGCTGAGTAGGAAGGATGCAGAAGATGATGACTTGGGGAGGATTTTGTCATGAGAGTGGTTTTGGTTTTTTCTCTTTAAAGGCGTGGCTGGGGAGAGTGCCCAGTAAGAATGCTTGCTGAGGCAGAGTGTAGTGGTGCAGGCAGATCTCTGTGAGTCAGCAGCCAACTTGGTCTACATTGTGAGTTACAGACAGCCAGAACTGTAGAATAGAAAGACACTATCTCAAACAACTAATAACCAAACAAAAAGAGTGCTTGCTGTATAAACACGAGGGCCTGAGTTCAGATTTCAGCACCTGTATAGAAGTCCCCAGTGTGGCTGCAGTGTGCCTATAGCCCTAATGCTGTGGGTGGAGGGAGGTGGAGATAGGGGCTCTCTGGGACTTGCTGGCCACCAGACTAGCTCCAGGTTCAGTGAGGGACCATGTCTCACAAGGATAAAGTGGATCCTGTTAGAGCAGAATAATGTTGAATTTTTTTTCTGTATTTCATAAGCATGTGCCCAGGCTCATACATGGGTATAAACACCGTGCACACACACACCATACACTACACACCCCCCACACACCCCCCCCACA